GGCGGCGGCGGGAGGCGGCAGAGCCCAGGTAGCGCCGCTGGGGCCGGGAGAGCCGGCGGGGGCGGCGGGCGAGGCCGGGCCCCGCTCCCCCCGGAGCTGAGTGTCTCCCCGTGCGGTGCCCAGGGCGGCGGCGGTGGTCTACTGCATGAACGAGGCGGAGCTGGTGGACATGGCCCTGGCGGTCTTGGCCGAGGTGAGCCCAGCACCTCCCGGGGATGGGGAGGCGGCCCTGGCCGTACCGGAGAGCGGCGGGGAGCTCCCCGGGGGCGGAGCGCCGCCCGGGTGTCCCGGTTCCCACCCTCCCCTTCCCGGGACGGGCGCTGCGGGACAAAACCAGGCTCCCCGCGGCCCTGGGGGCTGAGGAGGGGGTGTTGGGCAGGGATGGCCGGCTGCCGCCCCTACCCCCTGGGGTGCTCCCGGGGTGCAGTCGTGCACAGCCGGGCCCCTTTGTCTTCCCGTTGGTCAGAAGCTGCAGCGTGATGACGGCGAGGAGAAGGCCCGGTCCGGGAGTGAAGAGGAGCAGGAGGTCCAGCCCACGCCACACACAGCTCCTGGAAGCACCGCCAGCGCGGGGGGAGGCAGCGACCCCAGCCCGGCTCCCCCAGCCCCTCCTGATGGTGCTGATGCAGAGAGGACAGGCTGGGAGGACTCTCAGGACGATGCTCTGAAATACGTCAGGGAGATCTTCTTCAGCTAACGTTGCCCCCTCTGCGGCTCCCCAGGAGCAAAGGGGGCAGCGGGGAGGGTGCCCCCTCCCACAGCACTGAGGATGGTGGGAGGGGGGCTGGCGTGGGCTGTGTTGGTGCCTGTGGAGCTGGTAGGAGGCCCATGAAGGCCGTGGGGGAAAAAGGAGCACACTCACTTCTCCCAGTGCGTGCTGAGTTCAGTGGGATTTGGCTCCAGGTTAGGTTACGTTCATTTCTGTTTGGCGTCTCAGAGCATGGACAGATTAAAGAGGACATTCTGGTTTCTGTGAGCGTCCCTTTGGTTGGTCAGTGGAGGGGAGCTGGGAGCTGCTGGCCCTGCAAGGCCTTTGCTGGGTCTGCAGAGCCAGATAGTCATGGTTCAGCCTTGGCACTCTCTTGTCCTCTCTGTTGTGCTGTGAAGTTGCAGCGGGGCCTGGCAGGCTGTCCCCATTCGACTTGATGCTGAATTTCCCTCCAGGCTTGGGCACACCTCCCATAGCTGAGGAAGACATGGATGGGAGCAGACTAGCAGAGGCAGGGACCATCCCGAGGGGGCTGACTCCATGGCAGTGTCATGGGTGTCTATGAAGGGATAAGGATGGCTCAGCATCCTCATGGTGGCCCTCAAGGGGGGTGAACAAACTACATGAGGCCAAGGCAGATCCTAGGGATTTTATTGAAACAATCAAACTAGCATCACCAGCCACATTCCCACCAAGATTGCAACAGGAAAAGGGACACTCAAGTCTCTGAAGGAGATGGAAGGCAAATCATAGAATCATAGTATGGTTAGGGTTGGAAGGGACCTCAAAGATCATTGAGTTCCAACCCCTCTGCCATGGGCAGGGACACCTCCCACTAGACCAGGTTGCTCAAGGCCACATCCAGCCTGGTCTTGAACACTTCCAGGGATGGGGCATCCACAGCTTCTCTGGGCAACCTGTTCCAGTGTGTCACCACCCTCACTGTAAAGAATTTCTTCCTGAGATCTAATCTGAATCTTTTTTCTTCCAATTTAAAACCGTTTCCCTTTGTCCTATCATTACACCTCCTGGCAAAGAGTCCCTCCCCAGCTCTTCTGTAGGCGCCCTTCAGATATTGAAAGGCCGCTATAAGGTCTCCCCAGAGCCTTCTCTTCTCCAGGCTGAACAACCCCAGCTCTCTCAGCCTGTCTTCATAGGAGAGGTGCTCCATCTCTCTGATCATCTTCGTGGCCCTCTGCTGCACCTGTTCCAGCCGGTCCATGTCCTTTCTGTGTTGAGGACTCCAAAGCTGGACACAGTATTCCAGGTGGGGTCTCACGAGTGCAGAGTAGAGGGGCAGAATCACCTCCTGAGACCTGCTGGCCACACTTCTCCTGATGCAGCCCAGGGCACGGTTGGCTCTCTGGGCTGCCAGTGCGCACTGCCGGCTCATGTTGAGCTTCTCATCCATAAGCACTCCCAAGTCCTTCTCCTCAGGGCTGCTCTCCAGGCATTTTGTGTGAGGTTACAGATGTGGCACAGAGAGACCCTGTCCAGTGCTCTGGCTGTGATGGCCCAGCAGGAGCGTTGCACACAGCTGTGTATCAGAGCGTGGCTGGACATGGCCCTTTGGACCAAAGATTAAATTCTTGCCAGTGACTAAAGCTATAGTGGGATTGCTATTTTAAGACAGGTTATCAGTAGCTCTTGCATCTTCTTCACTGTCAAATCACAACGGGCAGGGCCTTCTCAGTAAAAGACCTTTGACACTGCTGTGTGTAGTTTGCCCAGCTAAGGTACACAGTGATAATGAGAATCTGGAGTAATAGCAGAGCCTGAGTCCCAAGCAGTGCGAAGAAGCCCCCAGTGAAATCAGAGGGGTGAATCCACTGTGAGGTTTGGAGAAGAAAACTACCCAGGCCTCCAGACAGCATTGCCACCTTGATCACGAGTATGATGAGAATCAGCTTCCAGCCCTCTCTTTCCTCTGTGCCCCTCACAAGTATCATAAAAAAGAGGTAGAAGATGTTGAAGACCAGGCAGGCATACACACAAACTGTGGCCAGCCCCATTCCCATTAGGTTGATGCCCATCACCTGGAGATGCTTGGACTTCAGGCACTGCAGCTCCCTGGCTGTTTCATTCCACAGGCAGAAGTTGTAAAAGCCAATGCGTTTGTCAGGGAGGTCAACCAGGTTCCCAGCTTTCCACCACAGGGCATAGAGCATCAAGGTCAAGGTCCCGGCAGCCTTGAGGACGATCAGCACACAGATCGGGTCCCTGATGCGCCTCAGACCCATCCTGGTGTCCACATGCTTTTTAAATACCATGGTAAAGACTGCCATGGAGTCACCTGCTACAAAACATGAAGGGGGGCACCCTTTGGTCATTGCATGTTATGGCACTCTTCCCAAGATGTGCTCTGAGCCTGTGTCACTGAGGTCTCGGGACTCCCCTTGCAACTACAGCAAGAGCATCTCAGCCCTGCCTGGCTTAGTGATGTCCCATGTGTGGACCAGGACCAGCACTGGGAGGACAGTGTGGCTCCCTTAGCCCCACGCGTGCCATTTGACCATGGTCTCACGTTGGACAAGAGAGGCATTTGTCAGCAAACAGCAGCGATGGGAGGGAGCAAAACACTGCTTTCTGATAGGGAGGGGTTTCAGACCTATTCTGGGAAAATGTTTGGGTTTCATTTCTGAGTAGAATGCAGGCTTGACAGGATCCGACGTGCAGGGCTTCCCCTGCCTCCCAGCCCTGCCTTGCAACTTGGGGGCACCTGATACAATTGATGCCACTTGTTTCAAGCATCCCCTGAGGCCCTTGCATTCCTGTACGTGTCTGGGCACAGCAGGGCTGATTGCCCACAGCCCTGCTCCCCACTGAGGTTGGTAGACATAGTGCTTGTCTGTCCCAGCTGCCTAAGGACCAATGCCCAGGCAGACAAGCAGTTGTCCAGCACAAGGAGGCACCCTAAACCTATCTGCAGCCACTGGCCCTCCTCTGAGGCCCAGGGAGATGGGTGCTCTGGAGACAGACCTGCGATTGTCTTCCTCCTTGCTCCTCTCTCGGGCTGCCTGGCAAAGCCGACTCCCTGGTCCTCTGCCAGAAACGCGGACTGTTCTCAGTGCCCTCTTGCTGGCTTCTGCTTCACACTGAAAAGCAGGGAAATGGCATCAGGAAGGGGTATCACTGGCGGCAGAGCCATGCAGTGTTTCAGCATTGGCCACCCAGATCTGCGCAGAGGCACAAACACAGGGCAAGGAGCTCAGAGACCTTGGCTTCAAGCTCAGCCTCTGGCTTGAGGCTCTGCAAATAACCCCTTTCCTGCCTTTGCCAAGTATTATTTCCTGTGAATCATTTACCACCTTCCCTTAAGAAGTTCACAACATCAGTTCTGCTCTCTCCCCTCCACTGCCCACAGCCCGGTGGTATACCATCTCGATGTCCTGGATGTCCCAGGCCATTGCCCCACAGCTGCCTGTGGATTTGGTACAGCCTCTTAGTTTTTAGAGTGCCAGGAGAGACTCCATGCAATCTGTACCCGGCTGCTGTGCTGGTGACTAAAGAACCTTCCACATCACCTGTCCACTCCCTGTCTCCCTGGATACTTGGGAGTGGGGGCACATATGTTTAATGTGCACAGGGATAAAGCTTCTCCATCTCAAGCTTCTCCTCCTCTACACAGTGATATAACCAGGATGGAAGCATGTCACAGCATCCAGATGCTCACCTGTCACCTTCCCCTGGTCAATATCTTACTACTTCTTGTAGCTTCGCTTGGAGGTCTTCTTTGCAACAGGCTTCTGGATAGACTGGAAGGCCACACGGAGGACGCTCATTGTTCTGAATCTACAATGAAGACACAATCAATCAGGAAAATACCCATGCTCCGGCCCAGAGCATGATGCAGATTGAGGCCTCACACACGTGTAATTTCACCAGGGTTTGTCTTGCCCTTGGTATTGCCTCTTGGTTTGTGTGTCCTGACACGTGCTCTCCTGCAGCCAGGAGAGCTGCTCTTCTCCCTGTCCCACAAGGTCTCACTTGTGGGCCTGCCGTTCTCCCTGCCATCCTGCCTCGAGGCCCTCAGAGGGAGAATAACCTGCGCTGGTTTGCTGACCAGCTCCCCTGGGGGGCTCAGCTGGAACTCAGAGCTGGGACCAGCACAGCCCACCCAGCTCCTGGCCCTCTCCACCCACCAGCCCTTGCTGTTGTATTTCTCTGAACTGGTTTCCTGAGAAAGGCAGGCTTGTAGAAACACAGGCTTTTTGTTCAATCATCTCACGTTACTTTTTATTTCCCGCCTCCCTCCCCCCCCAAATATAAAAGCAAATGAAAATTGTCCTAGTTGCACATGTTTACTACAGAGGGGACTAGAAAATTAAATTCCTAGCAGGTTCCTGGAAATACATAGCAGGCAACCGCAGAGACCTTGTGCTGCCACGTGACCTCTGGAGGTATGAGCGCCTGGGAAATCTCATGGTATCTCCCTGGGGAAATCCTGTGGTGACTCTGCCCTCTGCCCGGCTTTAAAGCTCATGTCTATAAGGACCTATTTTCTTTCCCCAGCGATGCCCCTCCGTTCGCACTGCCAAATTGCAGGCAGATTTGTCCCTCAGCCTCCTGCTGCCTCCCTAGCCTAGGCCAACAGGTAAATCCCTGTCCCCAAGTGTCACGGGGACAGGGACAGAAACATGCCTAGTGTGGGTGCCCTGTGCGAGCTGGGGCACAGGGTGCATGGCTGGCCGGGAGGCGATGTATGGTTTGGCAATGGAAGCTGAGACCTGGCACCCTGCCACCAGCACAGCCCAAGACACGGCGTTCGTGAGTTCTGCAGCTCGGCCCTGAGGCCAGTCTGGAGGCAGCCTGTCTGAAAAGCAGGGGATAAACAGGAAAGAGCCATCACCCAGCATCTAGCTGGGGCTCTTCCCAGGCAACTGCAGCCCCGTCACCTCTAAGGAGGTGTCTGCACCTTCAGAACGAGAGTCTGCGGCTCTACCTCAAAGGTGCAAGAAGGAGGGACCTGAGCACAGCACAGTGAGCCCCAGCCTGGCTTCAAGACCCCTGATTCTGGGCAGGCATCGCTGGAAGCACTGGACTTCCCCCTGGGAGAGCTCTGTGTCTCAGTCTCCTGGGTGGAGAGAGGCTCCATGGACACGGCTCAGGAGCTCCCTGGGAGACGGAGCTCACAGGGACACTCTGTGCTGCCAGGACTGTACAGCCCTTCCCTTTGCTGGCTCATAGGCAGGTGACACCTTCCCAAGCTGGGGTTGTGTCCCCCCCCTACCCCGCGAGCTGCTGGCTGAGTGCCTGGGCAAAGGTGACGGGACAGGGAGGCCAAGGCATAGAGCTCTGGCGCAGGATCTGGCCTCTCTGGAGGGATGAACATCTCAGTGGAGCTGCCGAACCCAGCTGCAGTTAGCAGGCTGAATGCAAAGGGGTGAGGGAACGTGTCAGGGCATTTTCTCTTGCACTTGCACTTCAGAATACTTGGATTTCCCTTATCCCCTCTCCCCCGGCTGCTGAGGGGAGTAATGCCATGCAAGAGCGGTGGGAAAGGAAGGCAGCTTTGGACTTGGCACCTTTCCTTCAAGACACCTGCTCCCCCCCAGATCCCTCTTCCCCCTGAGACAGGATCAGCTGCGGGGAAACCACAAGGGAAGACAAAGGATTGCTGGCGAACAGAAACCAGCCAGCGGCACATAGATCAGACTGCGAAGGAACTGCCCTGAAAGTGTCTCACAGCTGGGGAGGGACCTGCTACCTCCCAGACATTGGCACCCTGCAGCACCACTTCTGCTGGCAGCTCTCCCTGATGCCAGCGGCACTAAAAAGGGTGGGGGGACCAGGGGAGGATACTTACAGGCTGCCCATCCAGCTGGAGAGAGCCAACGTGATGCCCTGGTGAGGTGAGCTGCTCTCTCGCTGCTCCGTAGCTGCTCCTGCTCTCTAGCTGATCTGTAGCTACTCCGTAGGCAGGTCCTGTGCAGGCTGGGCTTTTATTTTGGTCAGCTGCTTCTGCTTTCTCTTTCGCTTCTGAAGCCCAAGAGATTTCAGCTCCTTCCTGGTAACGGTGTGCAGCTAAATAGAGCAAGGAAACAAGCCAAGCCCAGTCACTGCCATCTGAGCTGGGGGCAGCTTTCCACTTTGTTCTTCCACCGGCCCATGCTAACTGATGTGACTCACAGGGCTAAGTTCATCAAGGGGGGTTGTGCTACTGGAGTGGCTCGGGTGTCTGTGGGAACTGAGACGAGTTTGGTTTGTTTGGACACTTCTGTAGAGGTGACTGATCGTCCCAGTATCAACCCCAGTACTGCAGCACCGTCGGAGATCGCCAACCACTTTGCCCTTCTTGCACTTTGAACGCTACTGCCCTCCCTCTGCTTCCCAGCCCCAGCTGTGCCCGAGCTCCCCCTTGCCCGCAGGCACGGTGCCCACACAGGCGCGGCGCAGGAGAAGCAGCAAGCTGCCTGCTGCCACAGGAAACCTCTGAAACCTTGAATGCTGTAAGGGGCAAAACTCTCCTTCCTTTAGTCCTCCTGGCCAAATCCAGAACCATTTGTCCTGTCCTATAAGCAGTCTTGGTGGTGGGACTGTTAGAGAGGTGTGTGTTGGGGTTGATGGGTGTGAGACACCTAGCCGCAGCCAATAAGGGCACGGACTCTGCCAAGGAATGAAGCGAAGACGTTTAATGTTTTATTTTTACAGCACATATAGTTTCTCTCTTTAGATCACGTGCTGTGCTCTCTACAAGGATAGGTTGTGGGGCCTGTCCACATGCCATTGTGAGCAATCTGATTGGCTACATAGAAGTGTTCATACGCCCATGCTAATTAGTCAGTGTTATTTGTTTTGATATTGTTATCTATTTTGCTAGCTTGAGATCTATACTGTTGTCTTCACATTACCGTATAAGGACATTTTTTACTGTTCTCAAGGCTTCCTTCCCATCACTGCAAGAACACCTGCCGAGCTCTTGCTCAGCAGCATGTCTCCACAATTCCTCAGTCTCATCTAGTAATTCCACATTTAGGCATGGTCTGGAAACCTCCAGGTGGTACACAGGTTGTAAGCCTGTAATAATGGCACTCACATCTAAGAGCACGTGGGAGGTGAAAGGAAACATGGGAGGGAGCCTTAAAAGCAGCTCAATGGATAGAGCCATCGGGCAGGTGGCGTGGAGAGGTGCCTTCCTACCTGTCCTGTGTGTGTGGCATAACTTTAGCATCGCAAAGGACAAGGATCTGGATCAAGGTGGTTCAGATCACATATGGCTTGGGTGGGGGTTATGGTGGGAGAAATCACGGGCAGGGCTGGAAGGTTTGCAGCAAATGAAGCCTAACAGCCATGGCTGCTGACCCCGATGTGGGGATATAGAAGGAAGCCTTGGGGTTGAATATGGGACACTATAACACTGGGCATTCTGGCTGGGAGACAGGTATGAGCAGAGACCACCAAGGCAAGACCTGTGTCCCAGTGAGGGAACATGCATTGGCAGGAGGCGTGTTTGTGCTCCCAAGAGGAGAGGTTACACAGTTTTGCCTCATGCAACTCACTTTTCCATCATTCAGGAAGGAAATGGGTGTATGATTTGGGTCTGGTGGTCAGCCAGCTCCTTGCTGACCTCCGCACCACAGGGGAGGTTGCTACTTTGCTGCCAGGCAGAAGTCACTCCTATCTAGGAGTCTTTCCCATCTCCTATGCCTCAGCCTTCAGGGATGTGACAGATTGCCACACATCCCGGCCTTACCCTTTACACACACCTCCATCTCTCTGGCCTGCTCTGCTCTGTGCTGCTCAGAGCAGTAAATACAACATTTGGGAATGTTACTTTTGGAGCATGGCATCTTCCTGGCCAGAGCTGGTTGCCTGATTGTGCACCTATGGCAGAAGCGCTCCTTTGTGTTTCCTGAAGAGCCTTGTGTCTCCTTCCTTGCAAGGTCTCACTCTCTGCTGCTTGTAACACCTGCTGGGATGCCAAGGCTGCCAGCAAGGAGAGGTACAGTCAGCCTCTGGCTCATGGCTCAAGACTTGCCCTTTGTACCACTGACCTTTATTCTGGAGGCCTCCTTCCACATCTTCGGCTGCCTCTCTGGCAAGTAGTTCCTCTGCTTTCTCCTAGGCGTTTGGGCAGGAAGATTGTGCCTGAAGGCTGGGCAGGTTGCACTATGCCCTGCTGTTCTCCTTCCTAGGGACATTTTACAGGTGTCCCCTGGCTGCCCCTTTGGCTTCAGGTGCTCAAAATCTATCTGATGGTGCAGCAGTTGGGGAAGATAAGTGTGACAGGTGTGAGGAAGGGTAAGTAGGAAGATGATCAACATGTTGCATGAAGAAAGAATGGAAGAGAGAGGAGAAAGAGAGCAGGGCTGCTACACAGATGTGCCTGGAGGTAGGGGAGACTGGATGGAGTGTTTGGGCTGCTGGGGCCCTAGTGTCTGTGTGTGGGAAAGTAGAGCACTTCCCAGGAGCCAGCTTCCACTAAATTCCTGTGCAGTTGTTTCTTCCTGGAATTGTTTCCTGAAATAGAAATGTAATGTCTTGTGTGCGCTAAGGAGATATTCATGTGGCTTTGCAGGGGGAATGAGCTCTTGGTTTCTTGTGGCGCAGTTAAATCACACACAGCAACACTGTCAGCAGTAATATCAGCAATCACAAGTAAAGCATGAGACGAGTTGGGACTTTCAAAAGTGTTTTGCTTATTTTAGTTATTGTTGTTAAAGTAAGCTACTACACTTGCTTCCCAGAAGCTGGTCATAACCCTAGTCCTCGTGCCTGAGGGAATCTCCACAGCAGAACTCTTGTTTCCTCTAGCTGCTCAGAGACCTTCTCGGCTATAGCTAGTACTGCCTCACTGTACCAGACTCAAGGGATTCCTGTAGAAGTCCTTAGACTGGTGAGAGTCTGGTGAGAGAGGTTAGAGTCCCCTTCATATTTTTCCACATTGTTTAGGAATCACTTTTATTTAGATGAAATCGTAAAATGACTATTTTTTTTTCTCATCTGTAATCTGCTGACAACTAAAAATAAATAAATCTTAGTAAAATGAAGCTCTATGCTTTTCTTCTGTAGGTGTCATGAGGAGGTTGCTGGCCGTAGCTCTTCACAGAGCTCTTTCTGGACCTGGAGTCTGTCTCACAAAACCAGTATATATTAAGACAAACATACTTTATATTAAAAAGAGATTCCCTACTAAACTGGTTTAAAATTTGGGATACTTCTTCATGTGGTGAGAGAAACTCTGTGTGTACATTAGCAAATGTGTGTGAACTATTTTTTCAGAAAAAAAAAAAAAGAGCAAGAAGAATTTTGATATTTGCAGGTATCTCCCTCACTGGTAGAGTCATAATCCATAACCAAAGTCTTGGGAATTGTTTAAGCAAATCAGATAGATGCCACTTTCATGTGCCTTCATTGGCTAAAGAACTGGGGCTGCAAAATATACCCCAGTATTTTGCAGCATGTTGTCTCTTCTCTGTTTCAGGCAGTTATGGCAGAGAGAACTGTGGTGTTTCTTGTGCCTGGCAGGACTTAACCTTCCCAGCTCTTCTTTAGTCTCTTTTACTCTTCTTCTGGGCTTGTTGTCCTGGTTTTCTTGGGCCTTGTGCTTTTTGAGGGGAGCCTCTCCTTCATTTTCCTTTCTTCCTCTTTTGAGTTGCTCTTTGTACTACGATCAGGACCTGAGCCAAAAAGAAGGGAAAAACAAATCCGTATCAACTACTATGGAGTTATTACTGACTAAAAAAGTACATGGCTTTGGTTTCCTCCACAGGAAACTGTGTTATTATGGCAGAAATATTTCCTTCACTAAAGGAGAGCCACAGCATGATTCAAAATCTTGTACTAAAATGTGGAAACTTCAGCCATAGGCACACGATCTGGTTTTGTTACTCCAGCGATATGATATCCTGTTGCCCCCCAACCCCTTGAAAGTTTAATTCCAACATTTCACAGAATTTGACCCTTTATTCCCTTTGTGGCACACTGATATGAAAAGCAATGAGCTGATGACTAGAGCCTCTCCTACCAGTAACCACAGAACGATAGTGCAGGGTCAGAGGTCCTTTGCCGTTAGGCTGAGATTTTCCAAGCTCTTTTCCCTGGGCTGTTCACAAAGAGGCTAATGAGCTTCAGGACCTCTGGTGTCTCAGCTGGGAAGCTCCAGGACACCAGTTCTGGTATCTGCCACAGTGTATGAGCTGCTGCTGAACATGTAGCTTTCCAGCACTGCTACCATCTATCTTATGTCTTTTGGTACCTTGAAATAGATAGACCAAGAAACCCACCAGCAGAACTAAGTCCTATTCTTTGATGTGTTTTGAATAGAACAATAACTGAGAAACCTTTTAAATATTGAAATGTCTTCTCTGCAGACTTGGAGACACTTTTGCTATTGTGCTTCTTCACTGTCTGGGTGATCAGATTAAAGCTGGATGAACGGAAATTTTCTCTTGTGGATGGGATCATATCATGGTACACACTTTTTCCTGCCTTCTGTGACACAGATGGCTTTTCAAGATTGCCTTTACCATCATGGGTAGGATTCTCAGAGCTAAAACACACAGAGGTCAGGTCAGAAAATAATTCAGCTCCACAAAAATTCATGATTGGATATATGTAAAGATGACTGTGCAAATTAGAAATTCCTTACAGGTAAAATGCCTGCTACTTTAGCCTGAAGCATTTCTTAATAAACATATGAGAACAAAAGATAAGAGAAAAAAAGAAAAAGCAAAAAAAAAAAGAAAGAAGAAGAAACAAGAAAAAGGCAAAATAAAAAAGAAAAAAGAAAAAAAGGAAGTAATTTACTGTATTTCAAATTACAAAGAAACACAATGCCATCATATTATCTTAAGAACACTATTGCTAATATCATGTAGCCACAACACCATTATCCCTTCTGAGTCAGCCAGAAGTATCTATCATGGAAGCAGTAGCACCTTATCATCACAGAAGTAAAGACAGACGCCAAAGATATTTGTTTCTTTTTTTATCAGGGGAAAGCCTAAAACTTTCAAGTTTGCGTAGCTAAGTCTGACCTGTAAGGTGCAAAGCAGGAGTTCTTGAAATTAAATTTAGAGTGAATAAATCAGTATGTATTATTCCATGAGGTGGCAGGATTTGCTGCAATCACTGAATATTTTATGCTCTAAGGTGGGTACTTATGAAACTAATCAACACTGATCATCAGTGTTACCGCCACGGGGCCTTGCAGACCTGTAAGAGTGTACAAGCTTCACTGCTTATTGCCAAAGCACCAGAACCTAGAAGTGAAAGGAACACACCAGCAGCAAGCCATGCACCAGCACCATGAAAATATTGTGATTTCAAGATATCCAATCTTTCTAAACAAGTAAATGTCTGGTTTGGACTGTCCGTGCCACCTAGCCTGGATTGGCCTTTACCACACCTCTGCCCTGTTTCTTAGTAGCTGCATGGTCCTATTTTCTCCCTCCCTGCCAAGGCAGCAGGAATCATCCCTTCCTCCAGAAAAGCAGATCAGTGCCTGTGTGCCAGTGAGTCCAGCAAGGCTGGGGAAAGGAGCTTCAGCCATGTGCTGATGGAGGGGGTCTGGTGCTCCAGATGAGATGGAGGAAAGAGGATTCTCTGCTTCTCTAATACCATCTTCCACTGCAGTCTCAACCATGGGATGAAGTCACCAAGGACAGCTGTCTAGTTTATGAATGAAAAACAATGAACCATAATGTCAGAGGAGCATAAAAAGGAGGAGAGTGGATTTGTAGAGAAATCAGGCTGGGATCATTCTCTCACTTCTGCTTTGTGAAAAATGCTAGAAACTTGTAAAATATAATAGTAACCTACCTGAAATCCTCTCCTACTTGTTTGGCAGAGGCTGCAACTGGCAATTTTTCTGTAAAAAGTAGAAAAAAAATATTGAAAGTACGTATCAGATCTCTTAGGAAAAAAAATCAACACAATGAAACATCCAAATTTTGTCTTGGACAGTTCAGACTCAATAACTGAGGCTGATACAGTTACTTACTGTAAGTCGACATCAATGGACATCAAAGCATTTACTCACATGCCTAGCTGTGGGGATTAAGAGTTAAGTCACACAGAGCAGATTGACTCACGTGCTCACTTCCCCTTCACCTATTGCCTCATAAAGGCTATTTTGGGATACAGACACTCTAGGTAGCTCCCATTGAATCTGTTGCACAATGAATAAAACTGTAAATCAGGAAGTGAAGGTGCCAAAGGCAACACGATCATTTTGCTTTGGTAAGCATGCAGCTCTGTTGAAGGATATGTTCTCAATCCCAGTGTCTGCTCCAAGGAAAGCAAACGTTTGACATTCAAATGACACTGGACTAGAGTCAGAACAGACATCTCCAGAGCGCGAGTACAATGTTGAGTCCCACTGGTCAAGCAGCTTGGGTGGGAGTGGGCGAGAAGAAGAGTTAGTGCTGCCCGACTGATCTTGACAGGCGGTACGTGTTCCCGAGCTGCTAGTGCTTACTGCAGGGTGGCTGGTTGTGTAAGAACAAGGTGCCCTGGGGCCTGAGCAGTGCCAGCACCCAGGGAAGCTGCAAGTAGCGTGGCAGCCTCCAGAGTGGTGGTGCCACTGCATTCAGGCAGCAGCTGAACAGGGGTCCAGCGTAGGTGAGACAATAGTACCTGAGTGACAGCAGCCTTTGGGCTAGAAATTGCTTGCTTTCAGCTACATGTGTAGCACCTGCCACCACTACACACCTTAATAATAAGACATCTCTGGAAAAGCAGTAGGAAGGAGAAAAGGGGAATATAAAGTGTTTTACAGGCTCTTGGGATCCAGTCCCACTGTGGGATCCAGTCCCCTCCAGTTCGAATCTAAAAACCACAGTAACAAGATATTAAGGGCCAGGATTTGTCTTGTTTTGTGTTTGTTTTGGTCATTTTTTCCCTTCCTCTAAGCAAGGTCAGTTCCAGGAATGCCTAGAAGAAGGTGATCTGTTATGTTATTTACCCATGGGTATGGTTACACAATCATGTAACCATAGCTAGAAGAAACAGCTGCAGCTGGGGAAGAAAGTACTTTCAAGTCACCCGAGACTGCAAAATCATTTAAAAATTAATTCTTTATTAATGTCCCCTTTTGCAGGCAAGCCCTTATCACTCATTAACACTTAAATGTACTTAACTGTACCGTACCTAAACTGTACTTAACTAGACTGTCAGTCCCACAGAAGCCAATTACAGCTGTAACAATTTGTGCCTGGACTTAGAGGCTGGCGAGTCACCTTTAACTTCATCTCTCCCTCTATACTGCAGGTGGCTCATGTATCTTCTTTCTGAAGACATGGGTCTCCAGCGTGCCAGCTCCTGGGCCAGGCAGGGCCCTGGCGCTGATGGGAGGTGAAGACCACGTCTCCGCAAGTGGCAAAATCACTGCTGCAGCCCAAGCTCCTGGCCTCTCTCTCAGCATGGCCTGGCCTCTCTGGCCTGGCAGAAGCATCTTACCAGCCAGCCAGCTGTGGACCAGGTTGGCTGCAGCTGGCTGTAGTGCTGCACTGCAAATACCTCACCTGCGGGATGAGGTGAGGCAGGAAACTACTGGGTAAGGTCCATGATCAACGCGTGAGATGAACCAGGTCTGACAGTCTATGGGGAGGCATGTCCCTTGGACATAAGTATGTCCAACATGAGCTAGCAGTGTGCCCAGGTGGCCAAGAAGGCTAATGGCATCCTGGCCTGTATGAGGAATAGCGTGGCCAGCAGGAGTAGGGAAGTCATCGTGCCTCTGTACTGGGCACTGGTGAGGCCTCACCTTGAGTACTGTGTTCAGTTCTGGGCCCCTCACTACAAGAAGGACACTGAAGTGCTGGAGCATGTCCAGAGGAGAGCCACCAAGCTGGTGAGAGGTCTAGAGAACAAGTCCTATGAGGCTGAGGGAACTGGGCATGTTTAGTTTGGAGAAGAGGCGGCTGAGGGGAGACCTCATTGCCCTCTACAACTACCTGAAAGGAGGTTGTAGAGAGGTGGGTGTTGGCCTCTTCTCCCAAGGGAATAATGACAGGACCAGAGGAAATGGTCTGAAGTTGCAGCAGGGGAGGTTTAGATTAGATATTAGGAAGAATTACTTTACTGAGAGGGTGGTCAGGCACTGGAACAGCCTGCCCAGGGAGGTGGTGGAGTCACCATCCCTGGAGGTATTTAAGAAATGTGTAGACATGGCACTTCAGGGCATGCTCTAGTGGCCAAGATTATTGGTTTATGGGTGGGTGTGATGTGGTGGGGTGTTGTGTTTTCTGTTTTTTTGTTTGTTTGGTTTGGTTTTTTATTGTTGTTTTTTTGGTTTTTTGTTTGTTTGTTTTAAGGTTGGACTCAATGATCTCAGAGGTCCCTTCCAACCATAGTGATTCTGTGATTCTGTGATAAGTAATATTTACAATATTTTGAAGCTCCTTTTATTCTAAATGAAGAGATTCTTTATATTGTTGATATAGAATTTCATCAAGAATATTTAACCCACTTGGCCAAAATAAAGTAGGGAAGGCAAAACACAGAAAAACCTTCCCATTATATTTACATAGGTTTAAAAGTACATTAAGAACACAGGATATCCTCCATCAACAAATCCAGTCCTCTCCTACTACAGGCGTAGCCTTCCTACAAACCCTTTCACACACCAAATATTCATTTGCTACTTTTCAAGCTACCACGCAACTTTGTTTTATTTTTTTTCCTGGTTAAGTTCTCCAAGACAAAAACAAAGTAGTCATAAGGTAGAGTAGCTCTAGGTGCACATCTGAGGAAGACAAGACAGGAATTCAGAACCAAGCACAAAGTCATTATTAAAACATGACATTGTTAGATGTTCAGGACCCAGAGTGTGAAAATCATGAGTAAGGATCACCTTGAGAATAAATTCCAGTATCCTTAATGAAGGCAGAGAATAACTTCTCACATTCCTCTGTTTAACTGATCAGTGATAGCTCCCTATGAATCTATAGAACTCACAGATCTATATTAAAACACAGATAATATAGATGACCACTTCAATATTTCTCATCCAGTCCTTACTGAGGAATTTTAGATCTCTGCTCATGAAAACAACAGCTGAAGTACTGTTCTGTATAATTTGCTGATGTGACATCTGGAAAAGATTTTAAAGCTCTTACATCAATAAGAAGAATCCTTTTTTTTTCTTTTTGTGATTCTCAGAATATTTAATGAGGCTTGTTTAACTGTGTAAGAGAGGTCAGAACTGAAGAAAAACGTACTATTTGCTTTGCGAAATTTTGCCAATAAAAATAGCTGTAAGAATCTAAGAAAAGTGACGTGAGGATGTAATTAACACTGCTCACAGATGTTTATTTTATTTATAAAAATTGTAACAGTGGCTAAAACAAATGAATGCTGACATGGTACTGTGGGATGAGGACAGGTAGCTTTCTATTTGCTAGTTTCTTCATAGATTTAGTTGTTGATCTTCTATGCTTGATAGCAGACTGTTTCATGGATTTGTGGGTATCTGTGAAGCCACAGTTTCACACTAAGCATAAGAAATTCCATTGCCTTTCAGTACTCTGTCCACAGCAATGTTTTCCATTAAAACTCTACCAAAAACTCTACCAAACCCTATCCTTAAACTCCTGGATTGAATAAACTCTACATTCCTCTAAGAAGCCTATTCTGTTTTAATATGAAACTTTAAAATTATAAGTTTATGAAAAGCAGATTTTTGAGGCCTGAAAGAACCACAGATCATTTCATAATTCATTTTGCCTACTGTTATACCTCAGTTAGCAATTTCATTGTTTTCTGTGGACCCTGTTGTAGACTGTGTGTTTGACTGAAGCAGGACAGAGAACCCGCTACATTTCCTTGAGTTTGCACCGATGAATATTCTGACTCCCTGCCAAAACACGCATCTCTTACTTCTAATGCAAATTTGTCTGTTATCAATTGCAGTCACAGCTTCTCATACTGTCTTTTTCATGGACTAAAATCTTTCCCAGATTTCCTCGTGCTTGCAATGACTCAAGTTCTCCAGTTCTGTTGTCTTAGCTTCTTTCATTTCGTCTGTACTGAAACCAAGAAGTTCTGGGTGATCACAATTTTCCATAGGATTTGGGCTGCCTTGTTTGACTTTAATTAATGTTTTCTCCTCTACTCTCTCTGGACCAAAAAGAGCACATTATTACAAATGCGTGTACCCTACTGCCAAAAGGACAAACATTTTTTCATCTCTCTGGAACTTGCCTCCAATGCAATTTTTCTGAACTGAGATCATTCCCAATCAGTAAAGCAGAGTGTGACAATGTGATGAAGACAGTTTAATTACAGAAAAATTGGCTCTTCTAAATGCTGAGAATGAGTGAAATCCCAGCCAAATAACTCTGTACTTATCTTTTTGGGACATACTCTATACTGAGGTTTGAGATTATAGAAAAAATAAAAAAAGGTTTATTGGGATTTTAAGAATTAAACAAACATTTAAAGTTTACCTTTTTTCAGTGGGTCAGGTACCTTAAATATCTTATGTTGAGTTTCAATGTCTTGAGTCTATGAAAAAGAATAGAAACACGAATGAATTACTAATCATATTAAGTTCCAAAAGACTGAATGACAAAAAGGTATTACCATCTTTATGATTAGGCACTTCATGGCTTGTTCAAAGACTGTACACTAGTTTAGGACAGGGGAAGCTTGTTAAGGGTTCAATAACTAGAGGGAAAACAGTTAACTAAAGATCAGTCTTTTTTTCTTTCTTTTATTTTTTTTTAAAGCAGAAAGCAAGCTAGGCATTTGGTATTTGGCCTGATTTTCAAAAGCTCAGAAAACTCAGAAACTCAGTTCACTTTGCAACCTGTTGGGTGCTCAGCATTATAAAAATATTTAACTTAAATTCCTTTTCATGAAAGTAGGAACATAACATTAGACTCCACTGTTTTCATCTAGGATTTTTAAATGTTTGTCAGCTACAATGAGCCTCACATTTTCTAAATAGTTATGGAGGATGGCAAACAGCAACAATGGAGAAGTGATTTTTTTAAAAAAGATTAGATCTTTTCTGACAACTATTCTGACAATGACCTTTTAATAAATTTAATCCCATGGTAGTTGCTAGGCCAGCTAATGCTGAGTACCAAAGCACATGCTCTGAATTTCAGGAAGAAGCATGATTTCAGAGCTGGGGCTTGGTAATGATCCTGGAGTTAATTAAAAAATGTACTGCCTGTTTCCCTACAATGTCCTCTGAACTTTCCCTTTCTCTTCTCTTCACAGCACTCTACTGGACTGGGAAACACAATAGAAAATGTTTTAAGGACTTGGCAAAAATCTTGTTCAATAAAACTGGTTGTGAAACAGGTCCAGCTGAGGGCATTGAAATATTAGTAGTTTTGAAGAGTGAGAAGAGCTGGTATTACCTCCAGCTCCAAGGCATATTCCTTGGCAGAAAGATCTACGTGTATCAGATAATATATAATTTTATCATTTTTTCCTGCCCCAGAGTTGTTGATGTTGATAATTCATTCATGGATGAAAGAGACAAAAAAGAGCAACAGGCATTCTATGTCAGCAGCATTTGGTTATAAAATTGTTTGTATTGTGTTTGAAAATTGTCATATATCAGTCTCTGGTCAACATGTTTCTACTAGGATAAAAAATACATTTTTGCTTTCATCACTTCTGTCTTGAGCAATGCTGTGCAAATGTTCTCCTGATGTTTTGGGGTTTCTTTGGTTTTGTGTTTTTTTTTTTTTTTCTGCACAGAACATGGCATGTAACCATTTTGATTCATGAGGGAGTATTATAGTTATGAAAAAAAAGAGTTGCAAATAAACATGATAATCACAATGCCAGAAGGAACACATGTAAGTAAGCTACTCAAGACTGAATTCCTTATGCTGTTCTGTTCAGCAAATATTTATGAACCTGGACACAAACATATCATATTGACAAGGGACTTCACTTCCTACTCATTTTGGCTTGTTTATTTTTAGTCTGGGAACCTGGAGAGCCAGGCTTTCTCAGTAGTATTAACTGCCACTGCTCTGTTTTTCCAGTGTCAGGGCTTCTGAAAAGAAAGATTGGCATAAAATGTAAAAAGCTTGCAAAGCATTGGTCTACCTATTGAACCAATGAAAGCATTAATAAAGCCACCAGCGTTATGATGTTTATATATATATAAATAAAATTAACCGTCAAAATATTAACGTGACTTCTTCCTTCCAAACAGCAGTTTGCTTTCTGTAGGCAACAATAACAGTGCTCCTATTTTTACAGCTGAGGGCCATATAGTTTTATAGGCTGAACATCAGCAAAGTGCTGTTGAGGGCTACATACAGCTCCAGCATGAATTTCTGTCAAAAACTCTACTGTATCTGTGATATTCCTTGCTATTCACCTTTTTCAAATGGCTTTAAGTACTTCCATCAAGAACAACAACAGAAATTTTGGTAAGTCTTTTGATCTAATAACCTTAATTAGTCACTGAAATAGATCCACATGGGAAAACGCAAATAATAATGACAAGAACAAAAGTAAGAAACTTCTTGCAGGAACTGTGATGTACTATTCTTTTAAAATAATATGATAAATTCTTGTTACTTTTTATACACAATAACAGTATCACTCTGACATGTTTTGCTGCTAGTATACAACCAGCAAAAGTGCTTTAATTCAGTGGATGAAAGATGCACAAATACAATTTTATTGCATGAAAGATGTCTCTGGCTCTGTTTCAGCGCAGAAATTACAGAACAGGACCTAGTGAAGCTCCACTTTAATAGTTTTGCAACGTATACTGGTGTTTATAGGTACTGGCAGGCATATACTTACAAAACCAGGCTCTTAAGTGGCCAAAGCCACATTCAGTCCCAAACATGCTCAAACTTAGTTTACTGCTTAAAGAAAGCCATTATCAGATTTATTATTGCTATAACCCTATATAGTATTATGTTTTGTCACAGTAAGATGAACTGAGGCAGGAGAAAAGGCCTAGGGAGGGGACTTTCCTTACCTCCTTGTTATGAACACAGTAGTTCAAGAGAGCATCACAGAAATGCTGTCCTATTGACTCCAAGTCTTTCATGTTGAAATGGGTGCTTTGTCTGCAGCCTGCAGCATCAATAGGAGCAAGACAGAGATGAAAATGTCAGTCATCCTGCTGACTTCTAGGTATCTGTGATGTTTCAGGACGGTGGCTGACTGCAAACACACTTATCTTTCACTGACAGATAACAGACAGGTCTACGACTGCTGGAGTTTTATACAGATGATATTACAGATCGTTATTCTCCCTGTATGAACAAATTTATCCACTCAGAGAGGATTAGCTGTAATGCAAAGTTAACCGATTCCCTATTACAAAATTTCCTAAAAATGCAACTGGTTTTAGTTACTGGTTTTAATTTGCCATTCACTAATGTTGTTTCCTCATACATATGCAATAATGCTAGTGGTGGCCTGAAAGGTTGCTAGTTGAATGCCCTAGTTTTAGTGTTTTTTCCGACTCTTACCTTAAATCATCAGAGAAAACACCAAGAAGACGGTAGCTCAAGCTACTATTCTCCATGAAAAAAATGAAAGTAAAGGTCTTGTTTGATGTTTCCTACTAAATAGCTACAGGGAATTGTCTCACCTAACTTAGAGCCACAGATAGAGGCTTCCAAAGTGTAGCTGTTGTTGATGCCCATCTTCCACATTACCACTCGACCTGTGCCTTCTTTGTTCTTTTGTACTCTGAAACGGCAGTCTGTGAACGAGAACTTAAAAGACAGGTACAGCATTAGCCTTTGAAGTAAATAGGAAGATGCAATAATTTAATTTTAACCCTGCAAGCTTTTTGCAATCTTATCTACCAGGTAAACACTTAAGAGTTTTCACTCTACTTGAATATTGCATAACATAGCTCAAAGCATATTGTTATTACTGATATAACGAAGATGTAGGTGAAATAACAGTCTTTTGATTAAAAGGTTATTGTACTTTAAAGATTTCTGAGATGTCTGCAAATATATTTTTACGTGGCTGTACTTAGTATTTCTAAATGATCCTATACAGACAGCTGAGCCACTGAGGTACCACAAATCCTGCTATATAACAACATGCATATTTACTAAAAAGTTGGAATAGCTCTTCTCTCATGAGCTAAGAGACCAACAATTTGATGTAACCGATCTGGAGCTCACAACCACCTTATCATTGATATCTGACAAAAACTGCATTAGCTGAAAGTATGCAAAGACATCTAGTAGGTTAGTTTGTGTGTTGCTTTATATCTGAGCTTTTGCAACCTTTCTTGTTCCAAAGCAGCTTACTGCAGGCACATTTTGCTGGAAAATAACACATTTTAAAAGCTGTCATTTCCTGCTAAACTTTTTTTTTTCTTTCCTAATTAAAATATCTTACACAAATATGGTGACTTTGACACAATTTTCAACAGAAGCTTTCAAAAGGATTCAATCTGAAGGAGCAATTTTCTTCTTTAGTTTCTTACTTGTTTACTTGTTTGTTTTAATTCTGCAACGTATTTTAAAGCTGCATTTAATATGAGTACAAAATACTTAATATTAGTTTTTAACATTGTTAAAGCAATGTTATTTTGATGTTCTGTCTTTTTAATTATTTGCAAAAAATCTTTGAAAAAATACTAACTTTTTGGTCCCAATTCAGCATGATACATATTGGAGTGCTGGAATTTCAAAGGAGTTAAAATTTTGTATTCCTACCATTTCTATTTTTAGCCAATTGACAATTATTTTACTGGGTGAAGCGTGGTCTTTTAGTAATGTGATACCTTAACAAAAAATTAGGGATCCCAGATGGCGCTTGAATTTTTAGGCAAGTAAGTTTCTAGCCAGACATTTGCTTACCTTATCTGGGCAGATCTTGCTCAGCAAGAGTGGGAAGACACGTGGATGCATGTATGGTCCTTTTGCTTGCTGCTTTCTCTCACAACCATACATGAAGACATTTTGTTTCCTGTTGTGACCATGGATGTCACAATACAGAAAGATATCACGTTCCCCCATCACTCTGTAATACACGATGACATAGAATACTTTATTACAAGTGTGGGTTTTTTGTCCACCTCAGAAATAAATCTGAGCTAATATGCTACACTGAAGCTCACGTATAACCTAAAGAGCACAAAATCAATACAAGTTTCATATTCTGAGCTCTAAGTTAAGCCTTGAGAGTGCTAGATTAGAGCCAAACTGCTCAGTCCCCTCCAGAATAAAACACTTGTCACTGCCACAAGACACGAGTGTATGCATCACCAGCCTTGGCCATGTGTTCTAACTCTCAGACTCAGTCATATACATCCATCCCTGTAATGTGTACATAAGTATGTTGTACAGCTGAAACCCACTATTCTTACCTGCTGCTCTTTCCCTATTGTACGTGTTGAATAACACATGCTGTAAAATTACGAGACTGATGAATATAACTTCCTTTATCAAACTGGAGACATCAATTTTTAAGACGTGCCATGATTCTGCAATGTATTATTGCTTAAGTAATTTTCTAAAGAAAATTTGTAGGTAGACACATGGGGGTTTAGCAACCCACCCCCACCCCCAATGCCCAATTTGTGTCAAAGCTCTCTACATAGAAGATGTGATGGCACCACAGCTTGTCACCTGGGGCTTTACACTGCGCAGGAGTTGGAAATGCACAGTGGAACTAAGGAGGAAACAGTAATACATGTATCTGTCTCAGCTGACCGCAGCTGAAGATGAGCCTGAAGGTCAGTAGCACTTCAGCAGACATAATTTATGTTCATTACAGGTCACTCGCAAGTGCAGGCTGTCCCCATATAGTAACTCAGAGAGAGGAATTCTCATGGAAAAGGAGGAGAGATGCAGTGTTAATCCCCTGAAGGCTAGGGATCTACATTCATTTGAAGGAACCAGACCTTATTTAACACAGGCTGTAATTAGATGAAAAACATCACATGTTCTAATTCTGACACTGGCTTTTTGCACAATAGTCTTTTTTTTTTTTTTTTTTTTTTTTTATTTTTTAAGTAATAAGGGCTACAGACTAAGACCATTTCCACAGAGAATTCAGAGCTGAGAAAATTCTTTGTCTGTCCAATATTTTTTTTTTTTTTTTTTTTTTGTATTAATTTGTTACAGAAGTTGAACCAGAGGGATTTAGTTTACTAGTTGAAGGTTTAGTTTAATACCTGAAGGCTTATTTTTATATCCAATGTCTCTGTGACTGGAAGTCTGCATAAGAAATCAAATATATTTGTAGCAAAACATAGAGCAAACTTGGCAATCTTTGCTGCCAAATGGACATCTGGGATCTATTCTGAACCTAACTTCATTTTGAGATGTGGTTGTATGCCAGCAAAGAAGAAAATGCGAGACATAAGGAATTTGATAAGTAGATTTTGGCAGAGAATAGTGGGGAGAAATATGCTGAAAATGTTTTGATGAAAACTCTTTTACTTTGGAGGTATAACTTATTACCAGGAATGAAGAAAGGATATTAAAGGAAAACCTGCACAATACTGAAGAAACAAATAACCCACTCTGAAATGCAACTTAACATAAACAAAACAGTCAGAAAGGCTTGTGTACAGGGCAAAGATGTAAACAATACCAAAACACAAGGGACAGAGAAGTCACACTAACAAAGAGACAGCGGAAAGGAAAATCATCTATGCCAAAGATAAAGGAAATGAGGTTACCTTTTGATCATGTTTTGGGTATACCAGATGGAGGGATAACATTTCTTCCCATAAGATCTGTATTTGCGGTTCAAGTCCTGACCTGTTAAAGAACAGCGGTGATTTCCCACGATCACACCATCTGGATTCAACATGGGTACCACTTTGAAGACAAAATTGTCCCGCAGCAGTTGAGCTGTGCCCGAATCGCCAAGAATGTAATCCAGAAAGCCCTTCATTATCCAGGAACTGTTAGTTTCTCCCGGATGCACCCTGGCAGTTAGTATCACAGCCTTCCTCTCGGTGCCCTTGTCACTTTTGAGGGGGTTGGTGATAGTTAAAATGTACACTATGTTTCCTGCCAGTGAATGGCACAAGACGTGAATCTTGCAGAATGTGGACTTCACTGCATCTTTAGAGACAGCCGCCAGGTACTCCTGCAGGTTAGAGTAGGTGTAAGGATAGCAGTGGGCAAAGTAGCAGGTGTCTAGGTCATGAGGGAACTGGAACGTCCAAGTGAGTGAGAAATACTGACGGCCATCTTGTCCTGCATTATTTTTGTAATACTTGATTTCACTTCCAGTCCTTCGCCAGCCAACCTTGTGTTCCTTAGCATCAGCTTCTGAATACAACAGCGGCCGCAAGCCATGTTTATACAGGCTGTTACGATTGGTAAAGTTGACAATAGTGAAGCGATACGGCATCCCTGCCTGCATGTTGCTTACTTGGAAGTAGTACCACTGCGTGTGTCTGCTTGTGTAGAGGTCGGTGCGCAGGGTCAGCTGGTACTCAAATTCATTTCTGGTAGGCAGAAAGAAGACAAACAGTTGTGATGCTGGTTAGCACTGTAGTGTCAAATAATTGATGAAATAATTTCACACTTGCAGTGTCAAATAATCTGAACTGCCATGAAAAAGCACCCTGTGGTGAATCTGGTGCAAATCTGATTTATGCTGTCATAAATCAAAGTCCACACAGCTGCCAGGAAAAGATGTCTAATCACAATGAGCACGTCAATAATGCAACTGCTCTTTTCATTAGGACTTCTAATATAAAATGCCAGGTCCTGCATTTCGGTCACAACAACCCCAGGCAGTGCTACAGGCTTGGGGAAGAGTGGCTGGAAAGCTGCCCAGCAGAAAAGGACCTGGGGGTGCTGGTGGACAGCCGGCTGAACATGAGCCAGCAGTGTGCCCAGGTGGCCAAGAAGGCCAATGGCATCCTGGCCTTGTATCAGGAATAGCGTGGCCAGCAGGAGTAGGGAAGTCATCGTGCCTCTGTACTGGGCACTGGTGAGGCCTCACCTTGAGTACTGTGTTCAGTTCTGGGCCCCTCACTACAAGAAGGACACTGAAGTGCTGGAGCATGTCCAGAGGAGAGCCACCAAGCTGGTGAAGGGTCTAGAGAACAAGTCATACGAGGAGATGCTGAGGGAACTGGGCATGTTTCGTTTGGAGAAGAGGCGGCTGAGGGGAGACCTCATTGCCCTCTACAACTACCTGAAAGGAGGTTGTAGAGAGGTGGGTGTTGGCCTCTTCTCCCAAGGGAATAATGACAGGACCAGGGGAAATGGTCTAAAGTTGCAGCAGGGGATGTTTAGATTAGATATTAGGAAGAATTACTTTACTGAGAAGGTGGTCAGGCACTGGAACAGCCTGCCCAGGGAGGTGGTGGAGTCACCCATCCCTGGAGGTATTTAAGATATGTGTAGATGTGCACTTCAGGGCGTGCTCTAGTGGCTGAGATTGTAGGGGTTTTTTGTGTGTGTATGGTTGGATTTGGTGATCTCAAAGGTCCTTTCCAACCACGACAATTCTGTGATTCTGTATTAATAATATCTAGGAGTTCTAAAAATGGTTTCCACGCTATGCTTTCAAACGAGGTGCTTAAGAAAAGGTGTTGAGTTTATGTAGGCGATTATGTTCAGTGCTACGGAATGGCTATCAGACCATTTCATGTGAAGGTTACCTGAAACTACTTTTGAAGCTTATTCAAATAATGTAAAGCAAGTTACAAACCCAGACTAAGACATCCTGCTCAGAAACTGATAGCAGGCTGCTGAAAATAACAACAAAATTATAACTCCATATTAATAAAAGAAAAAAAGATTAGAAACTTACACTTTGATCACCTTCTGCAAATTCCCACTCTCAAACCGTGCTTCGAAGATCAGTGTGTTGTCCCCTTTCTGGTGGAGGATCTGCTTCAAGGGGCAGAGACCTCTCACTCGGGAATACATAAAGCAGGAGTTTTTGTTAGCTAGGGCAAGAAGCAGAACAGATGTCTTTCAGACTGAGTCATTTTAGGGAATACCTGCGTCTTTCTGAAAATTCCTTCTAGAAACAGACAACTGCATGCAGCTGACCTTCAAAGCATATCTTAAGTAAGCGTAAAAGAAATTATATGGAGATTTTGCTGCCTATTCCCACTTAATCTAATGGATTTCAGCCAGTTTATGATCTACCTCTGTCTCGGAGGTGCCCGTGTCTCTCTGCATGAGCAAAGCAACTGAGTTAGGTGGGCAGAATCTAGGACTCGGCTCCCCCAGGTTTTTTCACCAATCAAATGGGCAACTTCTCTACTTAGAAATCGTATGTAGCTGACAGCTCTTACCATTGGTTTGTTTTTAAATCTCTGCATTCAATTATTCTAGTCTAGAAGTAAAAAAGATGATACCCAGACGCAATTATTTTTATATTGCAAGTGGTGATTTGACACCACATTTAGCATGCAGTTTGAGCCTATATCTCTTTGTGCTCTTTTCTGCTACCTTTTCCTCAGATGAGAGGCTCACAGAGGCATAACTCGACTTTTTACTACAATCTTCGCTAAAGACCAGAACTTCCAGATTTGTCATCAGCGAGAATTTACTTTTTTGGTTGGGAAGCAGTCTAGGTTCCAGAATATTCTTGGCATAGGATCCTCCCTTTACAGAACCAAGGCAAGAATTATTTTTAACATTTACTTGCTTTCTCTGTATTGGTGTCAATATGGTGGCAAAGGCATGGAAAACCAGGGCAATCAAAACTTCCTGTCATCTCCAAACAGTACCCGCAAAATATAAAGGATGTGTCTCTTCTGCCAAAAGTGGGGAGCCCAGAGATGGTGCTGCAGAGTCAGTGTAGCCGTGCTGGTGACTCCGTCTGACCCTGGCAGCACAAGCTGCATTCTGATGCTTGGATTGGGGACAGCTCAAAGAAAAGGAGGACAGGTGAAAACTGCAGGCGTTCCAGGCTCAAACTACATTCTGTGAGACTGTGTGTTTCCTACTGCTGATATTGAACTGGCTGTTTTATCTGCCAAAAGTTAAATTCCTCGTTATGTAACTTTCTAACTAGCAAAATGAAGAATTTGTACTGGTGACCAGACACCAATCACCAAGATGTTGTATTCTCAGCTCCTGTATTCTTGCTTTTATTTCCTTAATCGCCTCCACAACATCAATCCTCAGAAGCAGGAGGGAGAACTGGCCATATTTAAAGGCAGCAGTTTTCATCTCCTCGGCTGGAAAGTTTCATTAACAAAGTCTGAGAACCATTAGAGCAAAACCAAACTTTGCTGGAGAGTTGTACAGGCTTAAATAAGAACCACTTGTTGTCACCTGTGCATGAAGTTCAAATCAGTAATAAATGATGCAGAAAGCTACATTTTTAAAGAACAGCAACTAAAGCACTCTAACAGAAATTGCTGTCCTTGTTTTCAAAAAGGCAGGGAGCTGGGATTCAGAGGGTTCCTCCACATCTTATCCCTTGCAATAAGTTAGCAGGTCCCTTTGCAGAGGACAGAAGTTCATTCCTAGTCACATAGCAGTTATCAGTTTTCTTGGCCACTAAATGTAACAATCTATTAGCAATACACCCATACTGCAGAAGTAGCTAATTTCTAAATAAACATGATGTCAAAGAGTAACAGTTCTTTGCAGTATTTTGCAAGCTTTTACTAACTGTGTTGACCTCACTAAGGATGCCAGCTCCCTTTTAGTTTTGTGCTTCTGAAAATTTTGTGGCCACACCTAGTTATCCTAGGATTTCAAAATTATTATCATCTTTCCTATCTACGTAGAAGTAGCCCAAGACGAAAATCAACAACTGCCAGAAGTTCCAAGTTCATCCAAGGAAACTGGATCAACTTAGAACACTTAGGAAAGAATAAATAACTCTGATAATCAACTGGTGACGGTGGAATAAAGCAATTCTGCCCTTCAATTCTGTCCAATTAATCGTTGCCAGACTTAGGAGCCTGTAATCACGCACTGACCTAATCTGGCCAGACTTTGCTTTTAAGTCTTGGTAAAACCACTATAGCAAACAAAATAAAATCTTCTCACAACACAGACTTTAGTGTTGATTCTGCAGTTACACAGCTCTCATTTTTTATCACTTTCTCTTTTCTCCACTCATATTTTCACAACAATTTTCTCAATAGAAAATTATATTGATTTCATCAGGCTTTGAATTACGTTCATGAAGGAGATCAAGGCAGGTGCTTCATCTACCTACAGCTGACAGCAAGATTTATCAGGGTGTCCCCACCTTCTTCTCCTTGATAAATCACAGTGCCTTTGTCAAGAGTTTGGTATGTCGGCTTCATCTCCAAACCTGTTGGAGTGTACAGTGGCTCAGGGACAGTGGGTATCCAATCTGAAAAAGAAAAGATATACAGAAGGAAGATTGTATTAGAGTCTTTATAATATGAAGGACACATTGAAGAGCAGGTCATCCTATTTACACCAGTTTCACATAAAGAAACAGGGAAACCGACTTTTGAACCTCTTTTTTTGGATCTGTGAACAAATCTTCACTATAACTCCAAATAAAAATAGATACCAATCTGTGCATGGACTAACTTTTGTTGTTCAAACTTACCTCTGTTCCCTGTACAGCCTGCTTACCATCAGTGAGGTTGACAATGGTGACCATTACACAGCATTGGTAATGTTAGGAAAACAGATGCTCCAACTACAGAGCGAAGTCATTGATTGCTGAGCACACAGATGTGCATGGCTATAATGCAGTGTCTCCATGTAACTCACCTGACATCTGCCTGGCATGTCACAAATCTGTTAAACACCAATTGATTCTGACAGTAGGACCTTCCGTTTTATAATACTCACAGCAGTTCTATCCCATTCCATTCAGGATACTGGCATGGATTTTCAAAGGTAACAGAATAAGGGCATAGATGTCTCAGTCCCATCTCTGTGCATTTCTGATTTCTACTGATTACTTCCAAGTTGCAATTGGTTGTATCTATAAAACACAGGGACTGTTCAAGTCGTCACTATCTCATAATAGGTTTGCAGTACTTTTATACAGACTGCATAAAAATAATTATTAGCTAACATTCATATTTAACCATACTGAAATACAGTACTGACATTGCTAGTAACAGGACATGATATATGTACTGAATTTGCAAGACCTCAGAACTGAATCTTGTTAGGTTTGCTCTCTCTGAACTTCTCTTTATCTGCCTGCAGCTTTGTTTCACCTAATTTAGCTGTGACAGCAACTTCTCTAATTGACTGGGTATGTATGGCTAATTTGTTTTATTTTTCTTTTATCTTTGTGTGGTACAACCATAGACTCATATGGACAGCAGTAACAAGGAGCTGTTCTGTGTAGAAATGCAGACACAGAGCTGAACGAAACTTGCTTTAGAGGTAACGAAGGGAAGAAGGAAATAATATCTAACACATGTAATGTGTTAGATACATCACTGTATATGGTAAATTCACATGTAGCATGGAGCTGCAGACTGATGAAGAAAGAGAAAGGTGTAAGAGTAAGCTAGCAAACATATGAAAATGATCCCAGAGTTATCTGGATCCCAGAGTGGGGAAGAAGAAATCACCAATACAAACCTCGTATTTCTCCCAGCAAAGGACCCCAGAGGCTGATAATTTGCAACAAACAAATTTGCAACAAACCCCTCCACTCCACCAGAATGAAACCACTGCAATGAAACCACTGACTTTAGGATCTAGAGGAGCAGTGGAAGGGGAAGGCAGGAAAAGGGTGGGAATTTGTTATTTAACTGAATTATTATTTTTTCTTTTTCTGTGGCAATTAGATCTGGAATAATAATGATTTGTCTCTTAAATATTTCACTTTTACTAGCAACAAATTAATTGCTTTATTTATATATAAGGTGTGCTTCCTCTTTGTCCTTACACAAGATTTTAAGCATAGTGCAGTAACTTACCAATGTGCTCAATTCTGTCCCTGATGACTTCACATTGGTGTGGCCAGTACACGAGTGAAAACTGGCTGGTAGGTGACGAGTCATCCAGATTCTGAGGTTCCTGATGGTGGGGTACCACTGTCTCCAAGCCAGATGATAACAGGATCTGGTTTGCCCTTGGAAAAAGATGAGCAGAAACGGAATCTATAAGAAAGTGAAAGAACCCTTAGATCAGTCTCTCTCGCTCTTCCGAGTCGAAACAGGCTGTGGAGATTATCCACGTGAAATCAATATAACTAAGCATGACACAATAAAATTACATCCCACTGAAATGTAAATTTAATGGTCCATACTGTAAATCACACTGAACTTAAAAGTAGCGCTGAATGAAGTTAATTCATTAAACCACAAAACACATCAAGTATTGAAATGCAGCAGGGAATAGCTTATTTGTGTTCCTATAGAAAATGTTGGCATCTTTTATTTCTACTGCTTTTATTACTAGTGTGTTATGGTAGGGCTTACAATCTCAATGTCTGAGTCAAAAATTTGTGCTGTGCAATACTATATAAATAACAAAGCTTATGGCTACAAAACTTATCATGCAGAGTGTATGCAACAGTGAGATAGCACTGGCTAGCATGACAGGAGGGGTAACAATCTGATGCTATCATGAATTTTGTAAAGCGACAGAGACATTTGGAGGTTGTGTGTGGGGGTCTTTGCTTGTCGGCAAGGAATTCTTCAAAGTTATGGAAAGCCATTTGAATGAAAACATGACAGGCAGAGTAAAGGCTTTGAAAAAACCTCGTAATTGGATGATTGGGACCGCTGGTACTGCGCACTAACCATAACACTACCCTGAGAAAATTACTTGTCTTTATCATAGATATGAAAAGATCCCCTTTCAAAGCATTCCCTGTCCTTCCTATTATATGCTTAGAGCAGGCCAAAAGATAGGAGTTTGGTTGCATGGGAAATTATCTATTTGTATTTGCTTTGGGTCTGCATCAGATACCAGCACCCGTAAGGCTTATTTTACCAGAAAAAAGTACTAATCAGCTTTAGACCTGGTTTCTACTTCTCACAACAAACAAAATAACATAATAAGCAAAAGCACTTCACCTGAAGGATCTGTTTTCAAGTGTAGATGACATCCTATGTGAAGAGTAAAAGAATTAAAAACAAAACTACTGAACCCACTTTTAAACTCTAGTGGATATCTAACTCTAATGGATACCTGGCTGATGTAATGCCAAATCAGTAACTGGTGATCAAAGGCATGCAAAGGGACTGAGATAACTACTTACCCAGGTCAAGAACCATAAAATATCACTATATCTAACTCAGTTTTGTTTGGAGCTTGGCAGTTGTGTGAGCACTATTATCTTCCCCCTTCCCCTTATTCTTCCATCCTGTGGTCTTACAGGGATGATGCAGGGGAATATCTGAAAGGGTCCTAACTTGTAAGAACAGCACACTGCTGACTGGCTTCTGTCACAAATGAGTTGGGGCGGGGTCTTCATCCTAAAAAAAATAATATTAAAATACTAAAATAAAAAGTCCACAGCAGGATGGGCTGCTTTTATTTTTTAGAGAGAAGAGCTGCCTCTGTTTTGGTTTACTTTAGGCCAAATCTGCATGATGATGTACTCTGTCATTATTCCTGGCTGCTGCTCAAAGCAGACATGCTTTCACTCATCCTCCTCTGCTTCCCTAGTGCCTCTCTTGTGCAGTTCTAGTATTCCTACTGTTGTCTGAAAAGCTAGAGCAGAAAACTGATATAAGAAAAAAATGGTCGGTTTTCAGCTGCATTAATTAGCCCTCTGATCCCACTCATCAAACCAACCTTCTGATGCAAGAGCAGGAGAGGCAATGAAAACCGATAGCTAGGACAGCCCTTCTGGTGGCAGCCCAGGTATAAGCCACAATTATCGCAAAGCAATAAGGCCTAGGACAGGGAGCAACTTGATACTGGCCAGTTAAGGGATACTACTTGACAAAAATCAGAAAAGCATTACTCTGCAGTCAAAGTTTGCATGGGCCATGAAAAGCATCCAACTACCCTGGGTTACATTTGAAGCACATTGGCAAGGCAGCAGAGAGACAACAGTGCTAGTCCCCAGCACTGTGCTTAATATATGAAATTTATTTCCTGGGTTTTCAACCTAGTCCCCTTTCATTAATATCATATTCAATTAAAATGTGAATTTCCTTCCTCCAAGATGAATAAACACGGGTAACATCAAATGTGTTTCACAGCTGGTAAAAATACTCTCTATTTACTGCTCCTATTTACATTCACCACATTTGCAAATATAATACAGGGCCTCTAAAAATCTGCCAGTCCAGTAGCTGACCAGGAGCTTGGTTTTTTCAGGTCAAGAAGCAAAACCAGTTCACAAACCAAAGTGCAGATAAAATCATAAAGGAGGTAGACAATTTTACCTCACTAAGGAAGAGCCAGACTGATTTCAGTAACATGGATGGTGCCAGGGATGAGTTCTCAGGGCAGGGATTTGGGAAGTGCCATGTACCGCGAGGTCCCAAAATTTACTTTATTGTGCTTAATTTAAGCATGCTCTGTGATGCATTTCGGGTGCCTGCAGAAACGGTTCGTCACTGGGGCTGCTCATGGATTTTCTTATAAGAAGCAATTCTTTCTCATATATTACGGCCGGCTTCCCCACCACCCGGGACCATCTCAGACGAGGCCCAGGCGCTGAGGGCACTTACTGAGCTGCCTTCCTCCCCGACGGCGGGGATCTCCCCGTCCCGTCTCGTCCCGCCGTCCGGGCGGCGGGACGGGGCATCCCGGCGAGGCGGCGGTACCGCCGTGATCCCGGTCTCCGAGGGGCCGCTCCCAACGCCCCGCCAGAGCTCAGCGGGAAAGCCCCCAGGCTGCGGCAAAACGGAGGGGCTCCGCCAACGGCCGCAACCGCCGCCACTGCCCCGCCGCGCTCTCGCGAGAGTTGGTTGCCGGGCCCCGCAAGGGGTGAGGGCGGCGGGGGCTGAGCGTCCGCCCGGCGCCGCCTTGGGATCGGTGACCGCGGCCTAGTGTGGTGTCCCCTGCCCCGCTCGGCAGCCCCAGGTGTGTGTGGCCGCAGTGTCCCCGGCAGGCAGGCGCAGGGCGGGGGGAAGGCTGTAGAGGGGGGACCAATATCCTGATAATTCCAGAATTGCTTTTTTGATTTCCCAAAAAGCCAGTTGAATCACCAGATTTACTTCCCCTGTATAAACTTTAGTCTCTATAATCTATTCACAAACCAAATAAAATCAACCGTATGCTCATATTTCAATTATTCACTTTTATTTCTATCATCACTGTAGTTAAGAATCATCATCTCCATCAGAATTATGTTGTGTTAGGTGCTGTGTGTTGCTACGAGTCCACCCTTACTTATGAGGTGAACGGGAGAGGCAGGGAGGGCCGGGACAGGAGGCAGGACTGACTTTGCCCAGAGGATGGAGTGGCAGAACTGAGAAGGGAAACTGTCATAAATCTGTCCTGCCCACTGATTGCCCACATTGTCCCTTACAGGAGCTTGAAAGTGAGCCGCTGAGCTGGCAGGGGGAAGTTTGCAGCCTAAATTTTAGTCTGGGGTCTTCAGGAACCTTTGGGTACCTCCGGTGAGAAGTTACATATCGTTATATTTTTTTTGTAAAAAACGTTTGTGTTGGTAGCAGCTTGATTTCAAATGTTTTTTCTTTGAGCGTTACATTTCTCTGTCTCAGTCTTAATTTGTACCTGCATGGATCAAGGATGGTAGGATTTCAAGATGAGTGGATTAAAGCTTTATTTGAGATTACAGAAATCGTTCTTCAGAAATAATTCATTTGTTTTTAAAGCGTCTGCACTGTCTTTCCTTAGAAGAGTTTTATGTGCATTTGCACAATGGAGCAGTAGGTGCTATTTTGAGATCCTTGTGTAAACTTTAAGAAAAAGATTTCTGGCATGTTTTTCTTTAATGTTACTTCTTCTACAGTGGCACTTCTTGCACAGTCCTTTGGGTTTGCTAAAAATCATTTATCTCCAGTGGAACAGCTACGAGAACAGGGGAAAACAGAATTAACTTCTAAAGTTTTCGGCTGCTGTTGCCAACACGGGGAACAGAATGGCCACGAGGTGGTAGCAGTTTGTAAGGGAGGGCCAGGAGATGGCTCTGAGCTTCCTTCTTCATCCAAGGAGGCAAATCCTGCCTGTGTGCCGCATGCCGCGCAGTGGAGCATTCGTAGTGTTCAAGCAGAGGTATTTTAGATCTATTTTCTGTTAATTTGTGTTATTTCACTTTGAGGTGATCTTGTGTGAGGTAGAGCAATGGGGGATAACACCGTAACATATCTCTCCTCAGCTGTAAGACCGTATAGGCTGGCAGCACGTGACTTTGCCAAGGATGCCAAGTGCAAATACATTTAAAATTGCCAGTGTAAGCCAGCATCTGGGCTTGTGCTGCTGGCTGGTACAGTCCATCTGCTTTTCAGGCTCTCCTAATGGCATCCAGAACGGTGTGGACTCAGCCTGCGACGTGTTGACCTCCTACATACGCCTTCTGCCAGCTCGATTCGGTTCAGAGTAATGTAATGGGTTAAATTCATACTGCCTGGCTTAGCGAGAGATCAGACATCATCCATCCTCCCAGGGCTGACATAAAGTTCATGTTAATAGAAGAAGACAGTGAAAACTCTATCATGTGCTCTGTCTGATTTGACAGAAATGCAGTCATATGCCCACACGTAATCAAGATTAAATTTGTGCTGCTGAGTGATCTGGCAGTGTGCAAACTCCTATTACTGCTCACGAAGCCACAGTTTTGGACAAAAAAAAAAAAATACATATATGCTTTTACTTCTACTGCTCCTGCTATGAAAGAAAAGAAGAGAAAGGGGAGCTTCTGACAGATTACTGGGGCAGACAATTGCAGGGATCATTTTGGTCTAGGTTACAATTACCAGAAAAGACAGAGGAGGTTATTCTGTAAACTGTTTCACTGTGAATTCTGGGAAAATTTCATCCTTTCTTGGTGAATGGGAATTATGGGAAGGTATGTGAGGACCAGCAGCATTGACTCCTTTTTTTCCTGTATCTGTTCTACATGATACTTGAGTGAAGTTCTTGTGTGTCAGCAGGACTTAATATAAAGGCAACATTCAATTTACAACATTATAAGGTTAATTTAACTCTGCCACAAAGATAATCTCTGCATTTCTTGCTGCATTTCTATGTATAAATGCTAGTTGTGCTGTGAATAGCAAAGGTTTCATTTGAATGTGGTGGTCAGATGTGAATGCTCAGACACATTGCAGCCTGCAGTTTAAATCTTTTAAAGTAAAAAAAAACCAAAGGGTGTCAGTACTAGTATGGACTCAACATCCATTGTCATTTTCTTACTGGGAGCCATAACCAACAGTCTGAACTGTTATTGCCTCCACAGAGTCCATCTTTACTCTTGTGCAAGGTTTTCTCCTCAGTGCTAATGATTTAAACACCTATTCAATGCTCAGTAAGACTCTGTCCCTGGAGGCAAAGGACTGAAAAAATGTCACTTAGTGTTGCACAAAATGAAGTCATGTTTTGTATTAGGTCCCTTTCACCCAGTGCTGCAAACATGCACATGTGCTTTAAATTTATCTCAATTTCTGTAGGATTATTCTTAGCAGTATGGTGAACTGAGCTTATGTTAAACACGCTAGAGAGGAGTTCCAAAATAAATCATGTCCTCAGTTGACCTGATTCCCTTTATTGTTGTTTTCCTTTGACTGTTACATAGTTTATGGAGTGATAAAATGCAGCACAGAAATTAACGATCTAGTTCGTTTCTCTGAGATACAATGTTGATTTCTGACTTATTTTCTATGTTTTACTTTGGTTCCACGATTTTCAAAGGGGCATTCTCCATTTTACAGAAAACAAACTGTTTAAGAATATATATTCCAACTACTTTTAGCTAAATAAAGATAACATACTCTCTGGATACTTATACAACTGGCTCACTTACAGGATCTAGAAATCTCTGTGAATTTTTACATGTATTTAAGGAGCTCTTAGTCAAGCAAGCTCCTTTAAATCCAGTTATTTCTGCTTTGTTCTTTTCCGTTCTTTCCAGATATTTTCTTCTCTCAGGCCATCTCATGAGAATCACATCCCTAACTGCCAATACTGATTCTTGTGTCCATGCTTGGATTTCTTTTTTTTTTTTTTTTCCTTTTCCCAGCTCCAACTTTAATAAGCCTCCTGGGCTTTCTTTGAAGATTTCATCTGCAACTGCAAATAAGCCCTTGTGTATCTCTGATGCTTTTATTTGGATTAAAAAGCCAAGTGACCTTGTTTTAAAGACTGAACAAAGAGCTGTTGATGGTACATGGAGATTAGTACTCACACACACCTGAACTCAAACCTGGAGTACAGAAAAAGTAAACACATTTTTTAAATTTTTCTCCCTTCATTAACAAATTGCTCTGAGCCTGTTGTAATGTTTAAGTTCCTTCCTGTGTTTACTGAGTTAAAAAGGAGTTTTGTAAATTTTTTCATTACAGAAGGTGTATTTCTTTCCCTTTTTCCCTCAAACACACTGGTTGTTGTATATATATAAAAAGTTCCCCTGCATACTTGGGGAATATTTATAATTCTTTCCTTTGTTACCTCATTCTGTTTGAAAGCCTTGGCTGAAGCTCTTAAGATGTGTTGAAACAACCTGAGATCACCCAAAAGGAAACCTGAAATGTCATGGTAGAAACTTGGCCTTGCAATGTCAGACAGTTTGCAAGCAACAATATACTCTCTGTTCTGAGGCAACTCTGTTTTAACACAAACGCTTCTCAAAATCATATTACTGCATTCCAGCCTAATGCCTTGAGAGAAATGGGCAATGGTGAGACCTCCCCTGTAAAAAAAAAAAAAAAAAAAAGTCAAAGAAAATGGGTGGTGACCATGCAGAGATCTTACTGCTCCTACACATGTTCTCCAGGGATAGGGAGTGTCTTTTTATTATATGATTGTACAGTGCTTAGAACAGCAAAACTTAGAACTCTGCTAAGAGGTTTTGGATGTTTTGTGAAGGCCAGTCAAAATTGTGCTATTTAGCCAATGGTTATTGTAGTGCTTTGACAATTTGCTTTGTTCCCACATTCTTACTCACGTTCTCCAGCTACGTATTGGCGTGACTGTCGCTGTAACTGTCATGCCAGGATTGGTCCTCATTGCTTTCTGGACTGCTTTATTTTTGGATTCTGAGTATGACACTCACCTCTAATCACATGCAAACGTCTGCATCTGAGCTAGGCACCTTAGATTTTCTCCCTGGTCTGTAGAGGTTTAGTCAATGTAGTTGAATCTAGGGTAGACATTTCACGCTGAAGCAGATGCCTGTGTTTGGTTAGAGGAATACCTCCTTCAACTCCAGTGGTTTCATTGACTAGATCTCCCTTGGCAGCTGTGCTATAGATACCTACAGTTAGGAGAGATGAATTCCATCCTTAGAGACCTCTACCATGCTGCTGGTATAACTAAGCATACAAAGCTGATGCGTAGATGGTACCTAACATGATCCCAGTCAGAGGGCTGGGGGTGGCAGGGGCTGTGTCCCTGACCCAGCAAAGGGGGTCCTGTAAGGTTTTTCCTATTCTGTGTATCTGTCATACCCAGGCCCACAGACTCAGCCACATCTGCGGCACAGCATGGTGTCCAGATCATAATCTTTCTCCCTTTTCCCCTCAGCCACATCTTCCTTCCTTGCCTGCCCTGTCCTGCCCTTCCCTTAGGCTAATCTCTGCTGCCATTCCCAGTGCTCACACTTGCCTCCTGCCCACTCTGCCAGTTTTTCACTGGTTTCATCATTATTTCCCTGGACA